ATAAAAAGGTTGACTACTCCTGCCCTACACCATTTCTGACCGATGGCAGTCCAGTCTCTTCTTGAAAGCCTCCAGGGATGAAGCTCCCACAACTTCCGAAGGCAACTTCTGTTCCATGGGTTTATTCCTCTCTCTGTTGGAAAATTTCTCCTTATTTCCAGGTTGAATCTCTCCTTGTTCAGTTTCCATCCATTATTTCTTGTCTGGCCTTCGGGTCTTTACCCCCTCCTCTCTGTGGCAGTCCCTCAAATATTGGAAGTCGGCTATCCTATCTCCCCTTTTCTTCACTAGACTAGCCATGTCCAGTTTCTGCAACTGTTCTTCATATGTTTTAGCCTCCAGTCCCCTCATCATCCTGGTTGCTGTTCTCTGCACTCTTTCTAGAGTCTCAACATCTTTTTTACATTGTGGAGACCAAAACTGGATCCAGGATTCTAGGTGTGGTCTTACTAGGGCTTTATAACATCATATTAGAACCTCACTTGATCTTGATAGTGACCCTGTTAATGCAATTTAGTATTGCATTAGCTTTTGGGGGCTTTTTTAAAAAAATAGAAAAAAATAGAATTGTAAATTCTACAGTAATTATAAATTTTGCAGTACCAAAAACGGACTCCTGGGTATGGAAGTAATTATAGTCAATTTTGAAGTAACAAATTAAACCAAGGCCCTCTGGAACTATCCAGATGATACACAAATCTAATAATGAATAAATAGATAATTTAAAAAACTTATTTTGTGCAGCTGGGCTTCTTCCATCATACAGAGCCAATTCAGGGGGAGAATTTTCTTTTAGCGAATCTGCCATAATCTATCATTCCTTTTTCCCTAAGTTCAAGCACCATATATTCAAGGCTTCTCAGATAGATGAATCCCAGATTTCTGGAATATAATTTAGCAGCATATTCACATTTTTAAAACTCAATTTCCTCCCCCAACATTAGTTCACCTCTAACCATGCGAGAATTTCCATTGAGCTTAACCAAACCAAACACATGGAAAGTCTGTTCAAATTTGTTACGTTGCCAATTTAAGAATAACTGTTAACTATTTTTAAACAGCTGTTGAGGAATGCAGCCACTTCCAGAAATCATTTTCTGTAGGACTAACTTGGCTTTAGAATAATAAGCAACATTTAGTATTTCTTAAAATTAAATGCTACATGATTCAGCAATCATTTGTGTATTCTAAATTCATGACTATCCAATTTAATAACAATGGTTGCAGTATTACCAATTATCCCACTTTCAATCTTTCAAACTTTAATTTCCTTAAATAAATTTGTTGCTTTAAATTTCAGAGTTCCTACAGTACCTGGATCAAAGGACTTGCTATGGCTTTTAAAGCTGCCCAATAGCAATTTTTAAGTGGGCTTGGAGTGGGTACACACATTCAGGATTTTCATATAGTACAAATTAAAACACTATTTTTGTATGAAAAACATGGCTTTAGAAAACTGTTGGAAGAAAAATCCATCTGGTTCAGTTCCAAGCTGAGAGAAAGACGTTGGAAACAACATGGAGGCTGGAGGCTGAGTGGAAAAGAAAGTCCATTTATTAGTGAACAGAGCCACCAGGGTTTGTAGTTCTGGGTGAGCTGAACCGTTAGCTAGATAAGTGCCAGGATTTTTATACAGGTCCTGAAATGCTGCAATTTTTGTTGTGCAATGAAAGGGTGTTGGGCAATTCCTATTGTAGCTAATGGCTTTGGTCCTGTGCTAGATCTTGGGTGAGGGGTTGCTGTACTAATCCTACCATTCTGCTTCTGTTAGCTGTCAAACTTTGCTGCAAGGAGTTTTGAAATAGCATGTCTTGCATCAATTTCTGCCTGCAGCATTTGCTTTGCTTATGAATAAGAGCCATCTAGACAGCTGCTTCCTTTTTCAATAAGCTCTTTATCTCCTTACGTGCTGGCATCTGCTGTGGGCTATTAAGAAAGACTGGGGCGTGCTGTCTGCCTCTAAAAGCATGTTTCTCCATCTCTCCTTTAGGGAAATATAATAATCTGCCTTTTAAAATTTTTTTTAATATTTCCCAAAATATTTCATTCAGGGGAGGGTGGAGACTTCCCACAAAACAAATCCTAGGCATGTGCTCTGTTAAAAAAAGTTATCAATTAAAATATTTAAGTGAATCAGTCAAAGGCCACACAGTGTATAATTTTTTAAGTCCTTTTCCTTTCCATTGCATTTAACCTTCCTCACAAATTTGTATTTTGTATCATTTCTTGATAATATAGGCTGGGTCAAGCAATATGAAATCATTCATTTCCTCTAAACAAGCTGTATTCCTAGCAATAACTGCCAGTACCAATAGCTCCTATTTTATTCCGTTAAATTTTTAATAGCACAGTATTGGCAGTAGAGTCCTTCAATTTTTTGCATTCTGTAATCTCCCAGGACTTGAAATGGATGCTTCACATTAGAACTATCATTAAAAAGAAAAACAAAGAATGTTTTTCCTGCATCAATTCAAAAAGCTCAGACTGCCCAAGGAGCTGCTGATTCTGTTCTACAGAAGAATTATTGAGTCTGTCATCTGCATCTCCATAACTGTCTGGTTTGGCACTGCAACCAAACAGGTCAAACACAGACTTCAATGGATAATTAGAACTGCAGAAAAACAAGCAACCAGCCTGCCTTCCATCGAGGACCAGTGTACTGCCTGAGTTAGAAAGAGGGCTGTGACAATATCTACAGACCCCTCGCATCCCGGACATAATCTGTTTCCACTTAGTGCGCTGCTATAAGGCATTGCACCCCAAAACAACTAGACACAAGCACAGTCCCCCCCCACCATGCCGTCACTCTGCTAAACACTTTATTCCCACCACACTGTCTCATTTCTCATCTTTCCTAGCTTCCTATTGTTTTATGGTTTATCAATTAGTTTGTAACTTATGATTAATGATTGTAATTATGATTTATGATCTATGACATATTGCTTGTAAGTTGTATATACACTGTGAGTTTATGCACTGGAGAGAACTTCCTTGTTTGTCCAATCATACTTGGTTAATAAAAAATTGTGTTGTTGTGTTGTACTCTGCTCTATTTTGCTCTCTATTCCATTCTATTCTTCACAAATGTTTGGACCGGTTGGGGGGCGGGGTGGGGGATTTAATATATACAGTACAACCTGTGGTCACGACCATAATTCATTTCATTCCATAACTTTGGTTGCAACCCGATTTGATCGTCACCTGAACTTAATTTTGGAAATTTGGCGCTTAAAAAAAAGGCACGGAAGTAGAAATCGCTCATGGGGAAAAAAATCGTGCATGTTTTTCTCAGAACCTGATTTGGTCGTGGTCAGAAGGGTTCGTGACCAGAGGTTCTACTGTATTTGGTTTCGAATAGCTGAAGGCCAGGGGGTTGGGGACCCCTGTTCTAGAGGATGATTTGCACAATTCCCAGGGTCCTTTTCACCATTCAAAACCACCACTAAACAAGCTGGGCCTCTGTTTTGGAAGGCAACTGCAGAGTTCACAGCCAAAGGCCATACGGGGAATTCTGAAGGGGGCATTTCTAACGCCTCTCTTATCACATTGGGGAAATTTAGTGCTTTTCTGATATAAGGTTTTCCTCAAGTTGGGTTTACTGATGCTGCTTTAGCATGTTTTGATGCTGCTGTGAGACTTTGGTTTTAGAGCTTCATTCCAAGCCTGTGTGCGTATGGTGGGTGGATAAACTGCCTTAACAAATCTTGATGTTGAAGCATGGCAGAGTCAAATAACTAAGAGCTATGGTGGCACAGCAATTAGAATGCAGGATTGCAGGCTAATTCTGCCCGGCAGCCTGGAGTTCAAGGTTGACTCAGCCTTCCATCCTTCTGAGGCGGGTAAAATGAGGGCCCAGATTCTTGGAGGCAAGAGGCTGCCTCTGTAAACAGCTTAGAGAGGGGGCTGCAAAGCACTGTGAAGTGGCATATAAGTATAAATGCTATTGGTAAAATATATGGGAGCAATTTAAAAAAAACCCCTTTTCTGTAATCATAAAAATTAAATTCTAGAAACACTCCCATCCACAGGCCTCCTTGTTCCCTCTCCCAAAGCTTCCTTCCCCAAGACGAAAACGTTGGAGACTTGGCAGTGGGCTTGAATCAGGGGCTGCAGCTATACGACAGAGCCTCTTTCTTGCTTGGGCTGAATGTTGACTGTTGTTTCTGTAATTCCACCCTCTCCCAGCTGCTATGTGTTTTCCATTTTTTAATATATGTTTTTATCCTTTTGAACACTGTTAGCCAACCAAGATCCTGTGTTTAAGATGGGCAGCCATAGAAGTCTACTGAATAAATAAATGGTGTTTATTGCCTTTTTGCAGCCTGTATTCCCTATATTACAATTTCCAAATACCAACCTGTAGATATTCCTCAAACTGAAAATTCCTCAAACATTATTAAGAAACAAACCAGCCCCAGGACCCCGACTCTAAGAAAGACCAAAGAAAAACTCGATCTGAGCTCCTTCAAGGAGGGTCAGCAAGAAAGCCCTGGGCCTGCCCGGCCCCCAGCCTTGTTCTGCTCTCTTGTGGGGCAAACCTCTAAAATAAAAACCACCCACCCATCCTCCATTTTTCCACAAGACCCACGAGGAGGGTGAATGCTAGGCATGGTGGGAGACAGTCCTGTGTCCCTTCTCAGGGGAACGGCTGTCTGGGCTGCATTTCCCTTTGCTGCATCTTCCGAATGAGCTCCAGCATATTCATTTGGAGCATCAATTCCTGGGAGAGAAACAAAAGAGTTTATGTTTAACTTAGGAATATAAAAGCAAGCCAACTTCTTCCACCCACCCACCCGTCAGCAAAAGGCCTTGCAAGAAGCAAGGGCAAAGCCAACCCATTTCTACATCCTGCCTATAAACAATAGTTTTGAACTGTGATGCTGAGCCATATTTGCTGGCATGGCAGCCCTCGGCTCCGGGATGCATGGGCGCACTGATCAGCTGATTTTCGGCCTTCCAGAGGGCCAGGGGAGGGAGGCCATTTTTGCCCTCCCCAGGCTTCAGAAAAGCCTGAGGAGGGTGAATAACAGGCCCAACAGGTCAACTGGAATTTCGGAAACCATCCATTTCCGCCTTCTGGAGGCCTCTGCGGGGGGGGGGGGGGGGAGCCTCCGAAGCGTGAAAACTCCCCCCTCCCGCATGGGGTAAGTGGGTTGTGCTTGACACACATACACAAGCAAGTGGGGCGCATGCGCACAACTTTGGCACTCTTTAGAAAAAAGTTAGCCATCGCTGGATTAGAAACTCATCTAGCAGCCCATGAAAACTTGGAGGGATCGGGGGAGGAGGAAGAGGAGATGGGGGCAGTTAGCATCTCAGAAAGTAGCAGTCCTTGCCCCCCTCCCCCTCCCTTCTCCCCCAAACATCTCAGTAACAACAACCCCCGAGGGAATTTTAACCCTCTTCCTGCTGAGGGCCCAAATCCCTGTGTAGATCCAGCCTGCTAGACGGTTTCAAAATGTCTCCCTGGCTTGGATTCTGGATGCAAGAGGTGGCAAGGAGGGAGAGGAGGGAGAGGAAGGCAGGGAGTGTAGTCAATCAATCAGAATTGAATTGGAAGGGACTGGAGGTCTTCAGGCAGGAGACCCTACACCAGTGATGGTTAATCTTTTTGTTATTGGATGCCAAAAATGTGAGGGTGTGCGCACAATAGTGCACGAGTGTGCTGGCACCCATAATGCAAAGCGTCCCCCCCCACATGTGCATGCATGCACAACCTCCCCATGCTCCCCATCCCACGTGCACCACACTAGTCGCCTCCAAGCTGAGCTTGGTATTTCCTCTGGGGGCGCATGGAAGGCCATTTCCGCCCTTCCCAGACTCCAGGAAAGCCTCCAAATCGTTTCCAAACTTCCGGTTGGCCTGTTGGGTCCATTTTTCGCCCGCCCCAGGCTCTGGAGGCTTTCGTGAAGGCCAGGGAGGGCAAAAACTGCCTCCCCCGGCCCTCCGGAAGGCCAAACATGCATATGCACTGGAGCTGGTGGCTTGCATGCCAACACATATAGCTGCATGCGTGCCATAGGTTTCCCATCATAGCCGTGTATCATTCTGGGCAAATGTTTGTCTAATCTCTTCTTAAAAACCTCCAGTGTTGGAGCACCCACAACTTCTGAATGCAACTTCTGTTCCACTGGTTAATTGTCCTCACTGTTAGGAAGTTTTTCCTCCATTCCAGAGTGGGAATGGCCTTGGGAAGAACTGCAGCCTAGACAAGGTCTGACAAATGCAATCTGTCTCTGAAGGGGGAAGGAAGTGTCTCAGAAAGGGGTCTCCCTAGTTTTTGGGAGAAGAGAGGAGAGGGATGAGAGGGGCCGGATGCCTTTCCTGTTACCAGAGCGGAGTTTTGTTCAGCAGATATATTCTCATTGTCCCCAGAGAGAGAAATATCTGCCTCTACCTAGGATCAAACTCACAGCCTCCTGATTGTGAGGCGATGGTTCCACGTCTAGGCCACCGCAGCACTCCCCTTGGGTGGCTTACAAATAAACATGTATTTCTCCTGCAGGGCCCTCTGTTGCTGCTATGTAAAGAGGTTGTGCCCCTCTGGAGGTCCCGTAGAAGAGCCCCCATTCCCTCTCTTCCTAGCAGGCTGCTCTGACCCTCTGGTGGGGGTGTTGTTAAGCAATTTCCAAGTGGGTGGGCCACTAGAGCCCCCATCCCTTGATCTCAGGAGGGGGAAAGATGGGCCCTTGCATCTCTCCCTGCTAGACCCTCTAGGGTGGGCAGTTTCACCCTCCAGAGCAGGGGATCTGATCCCCTCATCCTCCCCGTTCCCCGGTCTTCTTGCTGGCACTCAACTTTGGGCAAGGCTGTTGTGGACTGCCGGTGGCCTGCGCAGCTGGCAGCAGAGTCGGACAGAGAGGACTTTGGGGAGGAACATGGGCTAGTCCTGGAGTCTGAGGAAGGCTCAGATGAGGCTCTGTGTCGGAGGCAGAGAGGGAGCTAGACAGCAGTGAGGCAGAGGAACAGCTGGAGCCTGTTTCCAGTGTGCGCGTGCGCAGAGCTGCCAGAAGACAAGAACAACTAAGAAAGCAGGGTCGACTTGGGAGTAAAGCCACACCTTGGAGGTTATTGGCCCCTCCCAGAGGAAACAAAAGAGGAGAGAATGGGGAGGGGGCTTTTGCAGGAAACAATTAGTTCCTTCGGTCATTTCAAGAGTGGAAAATTCTTTTTGTGACGATAAGAGACTCTGTGCCAAGCGTTGCCTTGCCCTGCGGCTGGAAACTAGTTATCTGGCAGCTCTCCAAACAAGATAAGGTTCATGTGGATAAACATTCCTCTGAAAGACTGATTGCTAAGCCTGGCTGACTGTGAATGAAAGGAATTCACAGTCGTGTAAATAAAAGAGGTTTTGCCGGGATGAAGACTCTGCTGCTTGCTTTCTAAGGAAGCCTGGGGCAGAACAAAGGATTCCAGCCTGAACAGACCTGGGGATTGGTGGTGATGTAGAAGCCAGAGACGCCTGCTTTCTCCAAGGTGCTCTGCTGGTCCACCACTTTCTGATCCAGCTCCAGGACTATTTTCTCGTCCATCATCCGCAGCTCTGTATGGATTCGCTGCTCCACAGCCTGAGCAGAGGAGAACCCCAAAAGGCAAAAGAAGAAGCACCATGAACAGCACTGGGCGCTTTGAACGATGCTTCAAACCATGGGCTAAGTGGGAAGGAAGCTCTACATCCCACCGTCACCCCCACCAAGGTTACTCTGACTATTGCTACTGCTG